TCTTTGTCTCCAATAAACATTAATATTTATGTCACTGTTCAGGAGACATAGCTACACCTTTAAAGATATGTGTCACTCTGCATCCCCGAGCTTTCATGTGAGACTAAATAATTATTTATGACTATTATGATTCAATGTTTTTTAAATGTATCACTTAAAGTCATGCTGTATTTAGTTACCACCTGACCAAATGCTTGACAGGAAGCCATGTAAGGGAGAAAAATTTATTTCAGCTCAGAGTTTGAGAAGATACAGCACACCAAAGAAGGGAAAGACAGAGAAAACCTCATAGTCTTCAAACCGGTTCATTGAACAGCAACTTCCTTACATTTATTTTTTGTGTATATGTACATGTTCGTGTATGTGTGACCTCTGGGGTCCAAAGGTCAGTGTCAGACATCTTTCCTCAATTGCTTCTCCACTTTGTTTATTCATAAGGGCTTTCACTGAACCTGGAGTTCACCAGTTTAGCTGTAGTCGTGAACCAGCAAGCCTTGAGACTCCTCCTGTCTCTGTGTCCCTAGCACTGGGACTACAGACAGGAGTCACTAGTCCCAGATTTTTAATTTTTTTTATGTAGGTGCTAGATAATGAACTTGGTTCCTCCAGCGTCAGTGATAAGACACGTTACCACCTAAGCCATTTTTACAGACTCTTCATTAATTTTTAAGTGAATTACATTACTGTAGAATACATTAATTAGCAGGATATTATTCACAAGGACAAATGTCTTGCTGAATAAAAGATTTCTTATTGTCAAAAGTATTGGGGAGGGGATCTCAAGTCTGGGAAGAAATACAGAAACAAAAACATAAAATAACAAAATGAAACAAAAAATAAAAAACAAAAACAAACCAACAACAACAACAAAATATTAAGAGCATGTGTTCACTGGTAGAGGACTGGGATAACCAAGTAAGTTTCTGTATTTTGGTTTGAAAGGAAATTTTGGTTGTGTTTATATAATGACACTTAAATTCAGAGGAAATTTTAAAATGCTTTTCTGAATATACATATATATTCCTATATAAACATTTTGGAAAGCCTCTTCTAGATATATATACTTTATGATGATTCATAAATTCCATATGTACATGCTCTGTAAGAAAGAACCAATGTGAGGATACAAACTGAGACAAGGAATTCTGGCATTCTTGCAGAATCACTGAAATTGGCTGGCTGTTTCTTGCCTCAGAAAGGAGCATCATGTAGTAAAATTTCTTCCACCCAGTAATCTTGCTCATTCTCCTATATAAATGTTCTAAGCTTGCTTTTCAGAATATAAAAGTATTTTAATTTTTTTTTTTTTTATTGTGGCACTAAAAATTGCTACTGTCGCTGAGCCCAATGCTGCAGGCCTTTAAGTCCAGCTACTTGGGAGGACTGCAGCAGGAGAGGAGAAAGTTCAAAGACTGACTGGGCTACAGAGTGAGTTCAAGGCCAGCCAGAGTAGCTTAATAAGAGCTTATCTCAAACAACAACAACAACAAATGTGAGGAGCTCAGTAGGCTCTCGAGGTCCCTGGTTTCATCCTCAGCACTGCAAAAAGAAAATTGCCAGTGCTCATTTTATTCATATCAGAGTATCTAATGGGGAATAAATAAGATAGAATAAATTCAAAGAACATTGGTTAGATGCTATAGTATATCTGGAAATGTGGTAGTTTTAGTGCACCAAGCTAGATAAATTGTTGCTTTAATGTGATTTATGGTTATAAAAAAACCTTTATTTTACATTTATTTTGCATGTGGGAGTACATAGGCCAGAGTGGGAAGACAGCTTTTGGGAGTGGGTTTACTTCTACCTTTTGAGTAGCAGGGGTTGAACTCATGTCATCATGATTGGCAATATGCCCCTTTACCATTGAGGCACCTCACTAACCTCCCAAACAACATAAAAGTGTAAGCAATTAATAATGCTACCTGTATGTAGCCCCTAACCTAAGCTAAGCATAATGTAAGTATTAGGAAACAAAGATCAGTAAGTAACAATACATCAAATGTAATACACTTTGCTATGTATTAGATCTTTTTCAACCAATTTTCATAGGTTATTTCATTTAATCATTAAAATAATCTTTTAAGTGGGTGAGAGAGATAGTTTCATGGTTAAGACTATTGGCTCCTCTTCCAAAAGATCTGGTTTGATTCCCAGTATCTACATGGGATTCATAACTGTCTGTACCATAAGTCCCAGGAGATCTGATGCCCTCTCTGGCCTCCATGGCACACATGAAGTACACAGACAGGTGGTTTGAGTAAGAATGGACTGCATAGGCTCATATATTTGAATGCTTAGTTACCAGGGAGTGGAACTGTTTGAAAGGATTAGAAGAATTAGGAGGTGTGGCCTTAGAACAATTATGCCACTGGGGGTAGGCTTTGAGTTTTTCAAAAGCCATGCCAGGCCCAGTTTGTTTCTCTTGGTCTGTGGATTAGGATGTAGCATTCAGCTAGTGCTCCAGTGCCGTTCATGTTGCCACCCCCCACAAGAATGACAATGAACTAAACCTCTGAAACTTTAAGCAAGTTCCCAATTAAATGTTTTCTTTCTTTCTTTCTTTCTTTCTTTCTTTCTTTCTTTCTTTCTTTCTTTCTTTCCCTCTCTCTCTCTCCCTCCCTCTTTTCTTTCTTTTTTCTTTCTTTCTTTTTTATTTTTTTATTTCTGAGACAGGATTTCTCTATGTAACTTTGGCTATCTTGGAACTCACTTTGTAGGCCAGGCTGGTCTCACACTTACAGAGATCCTCCTGCCTCTGCCTCCCAAGTACAAATGTTTTTTTTTTTTTTTCAAGTATTGCCTTGGATACGGTGTCTCTTCACAGCACTAGAACAGTGACAAAGACAGACATATATGCAAACAAAACACCTGTATACATAATCAATTTAATTAAAATAACATTGTATTTGCCATTACTACCACTGTTTCCAATATATAAACTGAGATCTAAAAAGCTTAAGAAATGTACCCATTAGCAGAAATCATGGTGGGGCTAGCGAGAAGGCTCAGGTGCTTCCAGCCAAGCTTGTTGACCTGAGTTTGAGCCTCAGAACCCACATGTTTGAAGAAAAGAACATATTCCTTCAAATTGTCCTGTCTCACACACACACACACACACACACTTACACCACACAATGGCGTGTGTCCACGAATATGGTACACACAAAATGTAATTTTAGAAATATTTTTAAAGCTTTTAAAAATTGTGAAGGTTGAATTTGAATAAAAGTCACTGAATTCAGAACCAATGGATTTAATCATTACACTGTGTCTCAATATTCTTAGTCTTGAGGAACTCAGTCTTTAAAAGAGAGGTAGCAGTGTTGAATAATTATATGAAAATACATCCAAGTAACTGACAACTATTAACAGGGTTGCCAGCCAGTGATAGACTCCAGCAGGACTGCAAAAGTCAGGATAGGTCATCATCTGTGAGTAAGATCTTTACCAGGACACTGAGGAATATCAAAGTTAAATTTAAAAGTAATCAGGTTTATTAAGGGTTTATTAAGGAAATACATTCAAAAAGAAATGTTTTATGCTGAATGTAGGAGAAATGTATATGGCTTAGAGACAAGATCAAGAGGAGGTTGGAAATGACACATACCAACTGCACTCAATATTTCCTTTACTTTGCTTCTTCTCTCTTTATCCACCCCCTTTTAAAAAAATTTATTCCTTACCCATCCTTAATCATCATGTTGGACTAGATTCCTGTCAATTTCTCTGTGGAACTTTTTAAGTGGTTATGTGTGGTCAGGGGACAGTTATTTAACTTCCTTAAGCACAAGGAACTTAATCATGATTCTTGCCTCAAAGGATGGCTGTAAGTGTATTTGTAATTGCCACGGCACCTAGCAGATACACAAGATTTATGGAGTGGGAATGGGGTGGGAGGAAAGCCATGACTGTCTTAAAACTGGGAGTTTAGTTGAGTTTTCCAGGAGCATTCCTTTATATATTAAACTCCATAGTGCTATACACATAAAATTTATTGTTTGTCCTTCTTCCAACTCACATGGTAGAAGACTTTTCTGTACATTGTTTTATATACCCAGCAAGTAGCTAGTCAAAGCAGTATTTGACGGATGTTTGTTCAATGAAGTAATGAAGAGTGCTTACCAAACACTATAAGAATGAATATTATTTATCTCTCGTATTTAGACTGTTTGAGACAAAGGCAAGGAATGTATGTTAAAAAATAAAAAACAACAGCTAGGGCCCAAACTCAGAGCCTCGTTGAAAGCTAGGAGAGCACTCTACTACGAAGCCACTTGGCAGCCCTCATTAGTGTTTGTTTCGTATTTTGTGCCAGGGTCTAAGATGTCCATGCTGGCCACCGAGGCCTCTTTCTGTCTGGATACTCCACACAGTGGCTTTTTAATTGTTTCCAAAACAGAAGTGTGATAGAATGGTTTCCAAACGTGATGACGTCAACATGTGGTTGAAATTAAGTGATATCTGTGGTTGCCTGTAAATCAATAACTGATAGTGACATTAAAAGCTTGTAATAAACTAGATTCCTAGAAACAAGAAATTAAATAAGTAGTAAAAAATTAAAAGAAAAAAAACTTGTGAATACCTAGTAGAGAGTATTTTAAAATAATGATGCTTATTGGGTTTTCGTTTCTCTAGCCTTAAAAGTACCATGTTCCTTAAGAAAATGAGTAGTTGTTGAGGAAAACGTAGAACCAGTTGAAGGTGGGAAATATAAATTAATTTAATTGGTCTGAAGAAAGATCCCGGCTTGAGAGGCAACCTTCCAGAAGAAAAGTAGCCTACTCAGAGATCTTGTATGCTGTGGTCTTCTGAAGTTTGGCAAAACTTCTCGGGCACCTTAGGGGCCTGTCGGGAGGGTGGCACAGCAGAGGTCCGAACTTAAAAGCAAATTTGGACCCGCTCGATCGCAAGCTCGGCCTCCGACTAGTCTGGTCTGAGCCGGCTGTGGAAAAGGGCGGAAGCGCGCTCTTTTAAAGTCTGCGCCTGTGTCCTTATGCCATTTCCGGCGTGGCCATGGCGGCTAACGCGACCACCAACCCGTCCCAGCTCCTGCCACTAGGTAAGTCTTCCTTGGGGAGCGGGCGGGTTGCTGCAGGGTTCGAGGCTTGGCCGCCGCCCCTCCGGGCCCGACCGACCCGACCGACCCGACCGTCCTGACACCGTTTTGCCTGCCGGTGGCCTGCGAAGGTCCTCCTCAGTGAAAGACATGGTCGGCCTTCTTTTCGAGCTAGCAGTCCCAACTCAGGTTGGCCTTTTCGCTGCCCAGATTAGATAGACCCTGTATTGTATCTGGTTGGGTGAGCAGAGCGCCACGGTCTATAGTGAATCCTAAAATGAGAAATCTGGAAACTAGCCTCGTTTTTCAACTCAACAAGCGGTTCCCGCACTGTGCCAGGGTAATGTTGAATAATGAACTTAAATTACAGCCGTTGTTTTCAGATGTAACACCGGCAAACCTCATGCTGAGCAATGCTGAGGTGCTCCGGTTGGTCCCCGAACACAGAGGGTAAAGGTTAAGCAGGAGAAGAAGTGAAAGGAAAGCTGGTGTCTATGATAATGCTTCTTCCTTGGTTTTGGGCTGGAGAAGTTAGTGAGTGTGGCTGTGACTGCAAGTTTTTGCAGTGTTCAGTCCAGTCAGTATATGTTAGATACTGTTCATTGGTAGAAACACAGATGAGGAAAAACAGTCATGATCTCCACCTCATGGTGAGTGTGTTTTCATATGTTAACTAAATAATCTAAATAAAATCAGTCATAATAACTGCAGCAAAAAAGAGGTAAGTGAAGGCTAAGACAAACATTTGTGCCAATGGACAGAGGCTTGTGTAAGGTGTAGAGTTACTGAGTGACTGTTATTTGCTTCCCTTTAATGATAAGAATATAGTAAGTGCTTAAATGTTTGTTGAACTAATAGTAAGCATGTTTAGAAAAAAACTTTTTTCTTCCACAGAGCTTGTGGACAAGTGTATAGGATCAAGAATTCACATTGTGATGAAGAGTGATAAGGAAATTGTTGGTACACTCCTGGGATTTGATGACTTTGTCAGTATCCTTTTAAAAAGTGGTAATGGTACGGGTTTTTAAAAGACGTATTAATACAAGTAAGAACTATAGGCAGATGATATGTTTCTGGTTATTACATTAGGAAGAATTTTGTTTTCCAGGGACTTGGTAGCATTTTAAGAGGTGTGTTTGCTGAGAGAATTTGCACCATTGTATTGAACACATTTGAAACCAAACAAAAACATAAACCAGAATAAATTCAACCTTGTGTATTTCCTTAACCCCAAATATCAGATATGGTGCTGGAAGATGTCACAGAGTTGTGAGTAATATTAAAAATTGAAGAGTTGGGGAGGAGGGAGGAAGACAGGTGCCTTGGCTACTTTTTCAATACTGTGAAGAGACAGCATGACCAAGCATTTTATAAAAGAACTTATAAAAGAAAGTGTTGAACTGGGGGCTTGCTTATAGTTGCAGAGGGATACAGTCCATGACTTTCATGGTGGGGAACATGGTGCCAGGCAGGCAGGCAGGCAGGCATGGACCTGGTGCAGTAGCTTGTATGTTGAGACAAATCATGAGCCAGAGAAAGTGCTAACTGGTAGAGTTTAGACATTCAAAATCTCAGGCCCACCCCTAGTGACACACCTCCTCCAACAAGACCACACCTCCTAATCAAACAGTCTATCAACCGAGAACCAAGTTATTTAAATATATGGGCCTGTGGAGGCCATTGTCATTTATACCATCATAGTAGGTTTAGTATGATTGATTAAAAAGACATTACTTGTTGGAGGTACCTTAATACAGAAACTTTACTGGTATTTGTGAAGTTGAGTTAGAGGATTATTATCTTAATATTATACCTGAATTTCTAAGAAATTAGTGTGAACAAGCTTTATGGTGAATTGTATTTACATTAACATTATTCAGTGGGCAGTTTGTATTTCTGAAAATTATTATAATTATATAAGTTCACATTCATATGTAACTGGTGCTAGGGATTGAACCCAGGGCCTTGCACGTATGCTCTGCCGCCAAGCTATTCTCCTAACCCCAGGAATAACTGTTAGAGAGGGAACACGCCTCCAAAATTCTGCCTTTGATTACTTGTTTATTCTGACTTCATTTTATCTATCTATTTAGTGAAATTACACCAGAAGGAAGAAGGATTACAAAATTAGATCAGATTTTACTAAACGGAAATAACATAACAATGGTAAGACATTAGAACTGTTTTATTTTGAAATTACTTTTATGGCACAGGAATTAAAGAACTGACTTAAACTGCTGCTTAGTTGACAGTCTTCATGGGCTAGACATCCTGAGGATGGGAACAGAGCCTTTGGTGATCGGTACCCCAAGATTGGTCCTTAAGAATCTTTATAGCCTTTTAATTCATCAGGAATCATTGTTGAAACACTTAAACATGAATTGATGATGTTGGGATTACTAACAGATACTGAGGACTTAGAGAAGATGGGATTGAAGGATGAGGGAGAGACAAAGCTAGCTTTGGTCTGTGAGGAGCACTGGGGTGTTTTTAGGTGCTGTGATGGTGTTACTAATAAACTCTTTTTCTCCAATGCAGCTGGTTCCTGGAGGAGAAGGGCCTGAAGTATGAGTGGATTTTCTTGACTTACACTAGATTCTGGCTTTTTTTAAAAAAAAAAACCTTTAATGTTTAGATTCTATAAAATGAAGTTTCCGTTAAAGGGAAACACTTTGAAGATATTCATCCATTTTTCTAAGCTAATCATGGTTATTTTGGGAAAAGGAGAGTTTTGTTTTGTCTTGTTTTTTTAAAGACTGAAAAAATAAAGATGTTTTTGGTTAACTGTGCTTTGATTTATTATGTTGAAGTAGCTAGTGGAACAAATATAGTTACTTTGATACTTGGTTTCATTGATTTCTGTTTATTTTCTTCCTCTTTTATATTATTTGATTGAGGCAGGGTTAAGTCATTTTACTCAGAGCCATGAAGGTGGGAAGGGGCAGAAGAGGTCTGTCTGATCTGATGTCCTCCAATGGCTGTACTTCCTGGCCTCTTTGCTAAAAGTGAAGTTAATTCTTGATTTTTTAAAAAGATTTTGTTTATTTTTATTTTATGTGAGTATCTTTCCTGCATGTAGGTCTGCTTCACGTGCAGTGTTTGCAGAGGCCAGAAGAGGGTGTTGGATCCCCTGGCACTAGAGTTACTATGGATCGTTCCCTGTCCCTGCAGGTCTGGGAATTGAACCTGGGATCCCTGCAGGAGGAGCAAGTGCTCTTAGTGGCTGAGCCATCTCTCCAGCTTCTGAACTTAATTCTTAAATAGCATTGATCCCAAAAACAAACAAAAACCCTAATGATCCCTTAAGAAAATTGAGTTCAAACTCTGATATTTTGTAATGATACTTTTTACATTGAATTCAATTTTTACTAATTTCTATTAAAAATACAAAATATGCATTCTGTATTGTAGAAGTGCAGGTAAGTGAAAACTAATCACATCTTACATTTTTCTGGCATGAAAAAAAATTTTTTAACGTGTATGAGTGTTTTGCCTGCATGTATGTCTGTGTACCTCTTACCTTCTTTGAACCCTTGGAAGCCAGAAGACTGTTGGATCCCCAGAAACTGGAGTTAAAGGGGTTGTGGACCTCATGTGGATGCTGGGAACGAGCTGGGTTATGTGCAGGAGCAACAGTGTTCTTAACTGCTGATCCATCTCTCCAGTTCCATCTTTTCCTGTACTTAAAGCAAAAACAACAGCAATAAACTGGGTGTGAATGCGTGGGTGTGTAGTCAGAGAACAACTTTCAGGAGTCAGTCCTCCCTTCCATCATATGGGTTCTTGATACTGAGCTTAGGTCATCAGCCTGGGTAGCAAGTGCCTTTGCCTGCTGAGCCATTTCACACACCGCTATCAAACACTTTTTGAGTGTGTACATTTTAACAAAACTTGCTTGTCCTAAATGTTTAGACTCCATGCACATACATTTTTAAAAAGATTAAATGATGATTATTTTTCCATGTCAAGTATTTCAGCAGCAATGTCTATAAAACGTTTTTTTTTTTTTACTTTAAATTATTTAGCCTATGCTCATTGACTGCAATAATTTTAACTAAATCTTCATAATTTTTGTTTTTCTTAGAGGAAGTTCATAGAGTGCATATTTGTCATATTGCCAAAGAAAGTTTGTGTCATGCTACTTTTGCCAGTTTTTTCAGTCCCCTTATTCTTATATACATTTAGTTATGCTTTATTTGTTTCTTCCATGTGATAAGCAAAACCTGATTTAAAAACTAAAGAAAAAAAAACTTAATTTGAACTTGTATTTTATGAACTTGAGGCCTTCTCAATCCAACCCATTTTGGAGATGGGGTCTTGTCATGCATTCCAGGCTGTCCTTGAACTTGTAATCCTGCCTCAGCACCCCCCAGCACTAAGATTACAGGCATCCTCTGCCACATTAAATTTGTATGAAGCTTTTGTGTATTTATCTTAAAAAAAAAAACTTGTAAAAACTTTTGTGAGGTTATTTATATCACTTCTCTTGTTGCTGCAACACAGTGTCTGACAAAAGCAGCTCAAGAAGGGTTTGCTTTGCCTTGTAGTTCCAGAGGCAGGAAAGTCATCATCACCAGGAAGTCACAGCAGTGGGAACATGGGCAGCTGGTCACATAGTGTTCACAGCCAGAAAGCAGAGAGCAGTGGCTGCTTTCTCCTTTTTATTCAATGTAGGAGCTCAGCCCATGGGATGGTCTTCCTGCTTTAACTTACTCTGTAACCCCCACCCTCAATAGACATGCCCAGAAAATTGTTTCTATGGTGAATATAATTCCCATCAGATTGAAAATTAAGATGAGGCAGTGCATGTCTGTAATCCTAGCACTCAGGGAGGCAGAGGCAGGTATATTTTTGTGAGTTTGAGGTCAGCCTGGTCTACCAGGAAAGCCAAGACTACACAGAGAAACCCTGTCTTGGGGAAAAAAAAAAAAGACAAACCATCAAATCACTCTGTCACATAGTTTGCAAACTATCCCAGCCTATAGTTTGTCTTTTAGTGGTATTTTTGATATAATGTACTTTTATGTAATTATGTTACCTTAGGCCTTACTTTCATCTGGCCCAAATAATCAGAAATGTTTTCAGGGTTTCATTAAATCTTTGAACTTACCAGGAATTTTACTATGTCTGCTTAAAAAAAAAAAAACACAAAACAATTTTAATTTAGAACAAGTTACTTACTTGTAATATTGTTTGGCTTACACTGAATAACTATTACATTGCCTAATTTAGAATAACTGTGATTTCCTTGCTTGCGTTTGCCTTTTGGGACAAGCTAAATGATGCAACACTAGCTTTTCCCACCTTTTTTATTTTCAGTACTAGGGAAACATGGTGTTAATTGCCAACTCCCCTTTTTTCCCTAGGACCTTGTAGCTTAAAGGGTGCTAACTTGAGGGCAGCTTAAGTTAATACCAGCTGTTTTTAACTACAGTATGCTGTAAGTTTTATAGGAGGACGCATAGTTGCCCATGTGGCTACATGGATGATTCTGCTTGCCTGCAGACACACTAGGTCTCCTATTCTGTTATTTTCAGAGCTGAGAATCAAATCCAGAGTCTTGTACATGCCAGGAAAGCATTTTTCACTGAACTGTGTACTCAGATCCCCTAATCTACTCTCTAGCAATAATAAAGATGATGTAATTCCCTTCTGTTTACACTTTTATCCTCCACTTATTTAGAATAGGTACTATTTTGAATTTCTCAACCTTGGCACGATCAAGATTTCTAACCATGAAATGTGAATAGAATACCCCCTTTATTCTCTTGCCTGTCCAATTATAATAGGAAGGTCTCCAGATATTGTCAAATATGCTGAGTCAACAATCACTCCTTGACTATTGGGCTCTTCAGAATTATGTTTTTAGTCATGGACCAGGAGCACTGGCTTTAACTAAAATTGGGGAGAAAATGCTGGGACAGAGGGTTCCAGCAGGGCAAGATGGGTAGTTTTAAGCTTGAAGGATTTTGAATTGGATACTAGCCATGCATGATCTTTCACTTTGGCAGTTTGGTAGCCCCTGGCAAGGTGATGATCATTAAAGCTGTGCTTGAGCTCCTGCTCTGATTGTAGGCTACTTCCACTGGAGACTGCCACCACAGGGACTGTTTCCTGCTATTCAGCCTTGAGGAGGGGCTCTGTCAATCTTGTAACTTTAAGGAATTTTATGAGCATCAGGAGTCTTAGGCACCTCCCTCCATGAAGGAATGTTTTAATTCAGATGAAACAGCTGTGCAACAGAAGCAGGAGTGTGACAAAGTCTTAATGAAAGAAACGAGAGAAATAGATTGTATGAACGAGGACAAGGGCTACTGCTGCAGAAATAGATTAGCAGAAAGAAAGGCTGCTTGCTTCCTGGCACATCTGAAATTGGGTCATGACAGAGTCTAGTTCTCAGTGGGCTTATAGGAGTCCAGGCTTCTGAATTTACACTTGACAGACCTACATTTGTACTCACCATATTCAGAGTCTGCTATGGCTTTGACAGTGGTAGGTTTCAGGTTCTAAGACATTTTTTACTTGATAGAGTCATGAGCTGCTGTCTGGATGAGTTGTTTTCTAAATTGAGAGTTGGGTCTGGTGATAATCTTGTATCTGGTTCTATTAAGAAGGGAAGCATGGGCCTGGAGAGATGGCTTAGCAGTTAAGAGTGCTTGCTTCTCTTTCAGAAGACCCTACTTTGGTTCTCAGCACCCATACCAGGTGACTCAAATCTGCCTATAACTCCAGCTTCAATGTATCTAATGCCCTCTTCTGGCCTCCAATACCCACAAATACATGACAGACACACACTTATACATGTAAACAAAAATAATTTATAAAGTGAAAAGCAAAGCATGAGGAACAAAAAATGGATTGGATGTCTCTAAAAGTGAAAAACTTCAGGAGTGATGGCATGTATCTGCAACCTCAGCACTTGTGCCTGAGTGGGAAGGCCAACTTGGTACCCGTTGTAAGGACAAGGTCGGCCTTGTTTCAAAGAACACCTCAAGAAGTGAAAAGATGAGCCACGGTGTAGGAGAAAATATTTGTGATTTAAATTTGGAAGGAAAAGTATCGGCTCAGGACTCCTAAGACCAAGAATTTAGACCAAGTTCTCAGCACAAACATTTATTTGTCCCACAGGGACAGAGGGCAGGGATAAAGGGCAGACTGGAGAGGGAGAAGGGTGAGAAGAGTAAGGGAATAAAGAGAGGGGGAAAGGGCAAAGGAGAGAGGTAAGTGCTATTTTCTTTTTTGTTGGGTGGGATGAACAAGTATTCAGTATTGGGCCTGAGAAATTTCTGTGTAGACAAGGTTGGCCTTGAACTCACTGAGATCTGCCTGCTTTTGCCTCTGGAGTGCAGGGATTAAAGGCACAGGCCACCACATTAAGCAGAATGTTGGACATAACTCACTGAGAAAAGGGAATTTCATTTAGATAATTTTATTAAATTTAACATTTTTGGATTTTGCTTTGCAAGATTCAATTTTTAAATTTCTTATAAACTGGATAATAAGAGGGTATTATTTGTCTAATATCCACTTATAAGTGAGTATATACCATGTGTGTCTTCTGCTTCTGGGATACCTCGGGATCTTTTGTAGTTCCCACCATTTGCCTGCAAATTTCATGATTTCCTTGTTTTTAATTGCTGAGTAGTATTCCATTGTGTAAATGTACCACAATTCCTGTATCCCTTCGTCAGTTGAGGGATATCTGGGTTGTGTCCAGATTCTATTATGAATAAAGCTGCTATATGTATAGTATCAACATACTAAAATCTGTACATCTAAAGAAG